ACGCTCTTCCGATCCTCAATGCCGCTGCTAGAGTGACGTGTCTTATACCAAGATGTGCTCATATTACCCCTGTCCTGATGCACCTTCACTGGCTGCCTGTCAAGTTTCGCGTTGATTTTAAAATTGCACTTCTGGTATATAAAGCTCTCCACGGGATGGCGCCAGGCTACATTATGGGACTGTTGTTAGAAAAACCGAACTGTTGTTATCAACTGAGATCTGATGATCAGGGACTACTTTTTATCCCAAAAACTAGAGCCAAGACTCTTGGTGATCGAGCATTTGTGCATGCAGCTCCGTCAATTTGGAACATGCTACCTTCTGGTATTAGAAATAGTAAAACAATTGACTGTTTTAAATCTCAATTAAAGACTTTCCTTTTTAAGAAAGCTTTCGATTCTAACTTTTAGATTTATAGACACCTATACCTTAATTCTTAATATTTTAGCTACTTGTATATAGTATAACTTCATTGTTGTAAAGCGCTTTGGAATATTTTATATAATTTAAGCGCTGTATAAATCTTTGATGATGCACGCTGTAGCATCGAAACGTCCTTTAATAAATGTAATATCGCTATCATTTGTTTCAAAAGTATAAATCTTTATATATTATATTATTATTATATAGCCAAAGTTACTTCGATTATGACCTTTATTCGCTAAACTGCTACTTGCATTAAGTGAAACTGCCGTGCATCGTTCTCTTGCTTGTAACTCTTCTTTAAATGTTTCTAAAAGCAGATTAAAATCCCAAGTATTTTGTCAAATTTTCGACTTATTATGATTTGTAGCTCGCTGGGTATTTTTGCTAAGATTACTGGAACTAAAAGTGATCCAAATTGCTCTGGTTTTATGCCTAGCACATTTAAACTGCAAATGTTTGTTTCAATCTGATCGTATAACGCCCGTAATTTCAATACATCGTTCGCATCGTGTACTGTATTTAACTTCAGAAGTTTCTCCATATGACTCGAAATGATAAGTTGAGGATTCGCGTATCGCTCTTTCAACAGTTTAATCGCTTCTCCGTAGTTCTCCGCCGTCAATGAAAAACCTGCTACCAGTGTTGTTGCCGCTTTTCCGCTTTTGTCGCTTTTGTCGATTTCTGAGAGCTGTGAGTTCTTGTCAACCGCCGATTCAAACGTATCCCAAAACGAACTCCAATTCGCCGGATCGCCGTCAAATGTTTGTAAAGATAATTTTGGCAGCTTGCAATTCATCTTTTTCATACTGGTACTAATTTCACTGAGCGATGGCGATGCTACATTTTGCGATTCTTGTCTAGACTGTCTAGCTATTTCGTCGCCTTCTAACAACAATTCGATTTGTACTAAAACACGCTGTATTTCCTGCTTAAATTCGAGGGCCTCGAGCGCTTCTTCTTCGATATCTTCGACTTTCTTTATCCCAGCTAATATTTTAGAATTAAACTCTTCCAAATTTTTATCTTGTTCCGTCAAAAGATTCTTGTTTAATCGTAGTTTCACTTTGTCCTCGCGATTGAGCGTTTCCGCCTCAGACACCGCGTTGATAGCTTCGTTTGCTGTATGAATTAGTTTTCTCGTTGCTTGTCTGTGTCCTTCTCGAATTTTTTTTGATTTTCCGACATCCATGTCGGCCGACTGTAATTTGCTTCGGGTTCGAAGGACCAAATGTATTGTAATGTCTATAAATCTCTCTCTTAAATCACAAGTACGCGCTGGTTTGAAGGACACAACTTGTTTACTTGAAAAATATATGAAACATTTTTGTTACATAGAAAACTCCACCCACTTTACACCCGTCTATCATAAATGTCAATTATTAACAATTCATTACACTTGGAAAACGTGATTTACATCACGAAACAAGAGGTATTGATTTACTGATTATTTTAAGCCCGTTTTTGGGCGAATTTGTTCGCGCGAAGCGAAAAGCAAATTTCGGCAATGTGATTGGTCAGCGAAAAAATTCGCCGCGAAAAAGTTGGATCAGTTCCTACTCTTTTACTTGTCGCTTCACGCGAACAAATTCGCCCAGTGGAAAACGTTATTCTAGTGATTGTCATTCTACTTCCTGTTAAAGATTTGTTAAAACTCAGTGGTTCCCGTAATTTTTACCTGTTACGTATGACGTCATTGACGTCAACGAATGTTTTCACGATTTCATGTTTTTCAATAGAGCCCACCCCCCCCCCCCCCTCCCCCAGGCCCGCTTCGGTAAATTTAGTTCTACAGCACGGTGCAAAGCCTTGCAAAGTCTCTGTTGCACCATTCGTCGACTATTCGTCGACTATTCGCGTACTATTCGCACTATTCGTCGACTATTCGCGGACTATTCGTACTATTCGTCGACTATTGGCACTATTCGCACTCAGATTCGCTTCACTATTCTAGTTTTATCAATTACCATATGTAAACTGTAAAATAAGTTACTCAAAACTTAAACAGGCGTTAGGATTTAGACCCCTAGTTTAATTAATGTCTTTGAATTAACCAGAGTATCAGGCCCTTATGTTTTCATTCGCCAGGATTGAATGAATGAGGGCCTGATACAATTCTTTACCGGGCCGCATGTAAAAAGCCAGATTCTGGCTTTTTCGTCTGATTGGCCGATTAGACAAAAGATTTTTTAATCTGTCATTTGATTGGTTTGTTCTAATTAGATTATACTATTTTTTGTGTTGGTGTTGTGTACTCAGGTGAATATGATATTTGTGATGTTACTCTGAGTGTATATCCACACCGGGCGAGCTTGAAAAATATGCCCGGCCACAGTGGGAATCGAACCTACGACCTTTGGAATACTAGCCCAATGCTCTGCCAACTGAGCTACGCGGTCAGGACGGTTCGAGTAAGTGATATTTCGGAACAGAATCTAGTTCCTTCGATACCACTGTAATCTAGTAATATGATATTTTTCTGTGTTGGTGTTGTGTACTCAGGTGAATATGATGTTTGTGATGTTACTCTGAGTGTATATCCACACCGCGCGAGCTGGAAAAATACGCCTGACCACGGTGGGAATCGAACCTACGACCTTTGGAATACTAGCCCGGCCAATGCTCTGCCAACTGAACTACGCGGTCTGGTCGGTTCGAGTATGTGATATTTCGGAACAGAATGTAGTTCCTTCGATATCAATGTAATCTAACAACCATGATTTTTTCTGTGTTGGTGTAATATACTCAGGTGAATATGATGCTTGTGATGTTACTCTGAGTGTATATCCACACCGGGCAAGCTTGAAAATGGTGGGAATGGAACCTACGACCTTTGGAATACTAGCCCAACCAGACACAGTAGTGTGAATGCGGTGCCCGCCTACAAATTAAACTTCCTGCGTTTCCGCCTACAAGTAAACTAGTAAAGTTATATTTAGTACGCTACATTTTCCTGCCGGCCGCCAGTTGGTCCATACATTAGGATCAAAACTGCGCTTTAAAACCTTCAAAATAAAATATTTTGCGCTCAAAATACTATCAAAATGAAGAGAAAAGTGAGATAAATATACTGGCGTACGGCAGAAAATAGAAAATCAACGATACCAAAGTTATCAAGGGTCAAACGTACTGCATTTTTAGTTAGTTTAATAATTTTGAGCGACTTGTCAACAATACAATTTCGCTTATTAAAATTGCACTTTAAAACCTTCAAAATAAAGTAGTTTGGGCTCAAAATACTATCAAAATGAAGGGAAAAATGGGACGAATCCACTGGTATACGGCCAAAAACGAGAAAACCAACGATACGAAAGTTATCAAGAATCGAACGTACTGCATTTTTAATTAGTTTAATAATTTTGAGCGACAATGCAATCTCGCTTGTCGACAATGCAATCTCCCTTGACTTTCAAAGGCCATAAATCGCTAGAATTCTGTTGTTTAGTAATATATTTGACATCCTTAAGTACTTTTCTTACGCTGAATCGAACGGTGGTATTTTTGTCCTTACTAGGCGCATAAAACCAGAGATAAGGCGCAGCAAAAAGTCTATCGTGAGAGTCCGAGATTAAAATAGAAAAGAAAACTTTCCTCGAAAAAAGGAATTCGGAAAACGTGAAGGAGTATTTCAGAGCGGCTTGTCTTTAAAAGGCCATAAATCGCTAGAATAGAAATCAATATTGAAATCAATTTTCCATCCATAAATACAACTTTTCACGCTGATTCGAACAGTGGTATTGTTGTCCTTGTTTGGCCCATAAAACTAGAGATAAAGCCTAGCAAACAGTCGATCCTGAGACTGGTACAAGATAAATTAATTTTCCTGCAAAAATGAATAAATTTCGAGCACGTGCAAGGAATTTTTACTAGGCGATTAAGGAAACGTATTGATGCGAACAAACTAGCCTGCGAACAGGCTCACTGGAAGAAAGGTGAGCCTGCACGGAACCATGCGTTTTATTCAATCATCCCCTTTTCGCATCTGCTAAACGCGAACCAATCAGCGTCGACTGAGATAAATAAACTAACTGTCAACTGTCAAATTGACGCAAGGCGTGTACATTGTGCAACGAAGAAATACTGAATATTAAAATTATACATAATGTATATATGAACAATAATACAAAGCATTAGCGGGCCGCACAAAATATTACTCGGAAAAATATAGAATTCTTCAAATATTAAATAGATATCAATACACATACAAATATAAAGCCGAATAATAAAATACTACCATTGGCATTGAATCAATGTACAGTAATACTTGTACTACGTGTATGTGCGAGTATTACTGAATATTTGAAGCTATTACTAAAATACGGTCAGATAGGTTGGGATTTGGAATACCGAATACGTCTAAAATTTTACTAACTGCGGTCTAAATAAATGATACGTGAGCATGTATTTATTAATTTCTTCGAAATCACGAGTGTGCCAATAGTGGAATCATAGTGGTGCATGGAAGCCATATCGACAACGAAATTGTCAGCAGTTTATACAGTAAATAGTACAGCGTTTAATGTACGATATATATTTATATCTAAATGACATGCCAGCGAGGATCAACAATATAATTATTCGTACATATTTGGGTATCTTTTGTATACCTTCGCTTGCTGACTTGCTCACTAATGAGAATAATCTGTGAAGCCACGACGACCTCAAAATGTACTATACAATAGTCTGATGTCAATCCGAAGACGAAGTTCAGAATACTGTTATTTTATTATAGTTTCGTATATTGGATTTAAGCGATAGATTTAAGTCATTTATGATAGACGTTTTGCTGTGATGCTTTGCTATTGCTTTTGTTTTCCATTTCTAGTTTTATTTGTTCGATAGTCTTATAATATATAATATTAAAATGAATAAAGTTCAAATTCTTCAAAATGCTGTTGTTGACATTTGCTATTTTTAGTAATTTTGTCAACGAGTGTAAGCCAATCAGAAGCCTGCGTTGCTATACGAACGCCACTACCAAGAAAACCTATAGTTCCGTGCAGGCTCTCTATTCTTCGCACCCAGGGCCTGTTCGCAGGCTACGAACAAACTAACAAACAAACTAACAAACAAACGGACAAACTCACAGGCAGAATATAATGCGGTGCCAAACTTTGGGCACCGCAATGCTCTGCCAACTGAGCTACGCGGTCAGATCGGTTCGAGTATGCGATATTTCGGAACTGAGTCTAGTTCCTTCGATATCAGTGTAATCTAATAATCATGATACGTAGCTCAGTTGGCAGAGCACTGGGCTACAATCCTGGACAAAACATCTGCGACACTTCCAATTACTTGACAAAATGTCGTAATATTATCGTAAATTTAGAAAACCTCCCCCTTTCCCCCACCATTCAATGTTGACTGCATTCGTAGAATACGGATAAGACGTCCAACATTGTTTTGGGGGGTGGAGGGGGGCAAACGAGGAAATTATTCCGGTCTAACTGGTAAAAAAATCCACAAAGGAATGTTTTAATAGAGTGTCGCAGATGGTTTTGTCCAGGATTGTAGTATTCCAAAGGTCGTAAGGTTCGAATCCCACCGTGGCCAGGCATTTTTCAAGCCTGCCCGGTGTGGATATACACTCAGAGTAACATCACACAAGCATCTTATTCACCTGAGTACATTACACCAACACAGCAAATATCAATATTTAATGTGTGTGTATTTATTCGTTAATATTACAAGGTTTGATCTCTATTCCGGGAAGTCGGGGAAAACCCACAGGGAAAATCCATTCTTCCTATCTGCGCATGCGCAGTACGCATCTTCATATCTGCGCGTACGCATGCGTATTTGCTACCAAAACAATGGCGGTTCGAATATTTTGAAGCGGGAAAATAGCAAACTTTGGAGGGATTATTTTCCCAATTGTGCACCTGTTTCGCTTGGGGAGCAACGGATTCCGATAAAGTAAGTTATTATCTATTGATTCATGTGAAAATTACGTAGTTCCACGAGGGGTGCAACGGAATTGCATCTTTTGGGTGCTCATCCTACGCCGGCCTATGTTTATCGTGCATTTTAGAACGAGACATTAAAATAATAAACTATTTATTGCACGACTAACAGACTAATGGCATCAATGCGACTATACCTTCCATGAGCATTTTCAGTTTCTATTACCGGCAGAATACGGTCGAGTTAGCTGCCAAACAATATATAGTGTCAATAGACATTATTCACATT